CAGTGGCAAGCACACAGACCAGGTCCCAACCCTGCTGCTGTAGAGGGTGTCATGTACCCTATTTTATCTTACTAAGTATAAAAGAAATGATCTACAAGAAATCCAAAGTAATTTCAAATTAATCTGTCATCTGCTATGGTTTGGAAGTGGCTAGCACTACAATTCCTGGCTGATGTCTATGACTGAGCTTTAGATATTATTGACACTCCTGTCACTAGGCAACGTTTACCTTGATTTTTTTTTTATAACCTAGATTTTTCCTTCCCAGGCATCTTTGTTTTCTACTTGTTTCTTTTTTTTTTTCTGCCAATACTTTCAAATGTCCAGACGTGAAGCTTCTTTGGATTTCCATTTCCTCAACTACAAACCAGAGATACAGAAAGTACTTACTACGTGGGGTTGTCGTGAAAATTCAGTGTCTTAAACATGTAAGCTTTCTACCCTGCAGAGTGGTGCTGGGCCAAGGGCTCACAAAGCCTGGCTTAGGATTGACGCTCCATGCAAAGATCTGGAGGCATGCTTCTCCTTTCCCTGGCCTCCCATACTAGTGTTCATTCACAGAGGAATTCTGAAGGGCTGCAGCTCTTCTCAACCTGGAGCATTAGAAAGGAAAATGTGAACTGTACATTGACATGCAGCAACCTTCTAACATTAAAACATTTGAAAATATTGGCAGCTACACCAACCTGTTCACGAAGGCCAGTGAACATGGCTGCCATCCCAGAAAATCTTCAGCTTGAAGTTTTTACAAGATAAAAAAAAATGCTAATATTAAATTTTGGAGAAGCTGGATGTTAGGGAAAAAAGAAAGGTGACAGGGACTGAGCATTGAAAGATCAAGCTGTGATTGGCTAGTGACGGATGCTTCAATAAAATGTAACACTTGGGGCTAGGAATGTGGTTTAGTGGTAGAGTGCTTGCCTAGCATGCACAAAGCCCTAGGTGCCATTCCTCAGAACCACATACACCAAAAAAGCCAGAAGTGGCACTATGGCTCAAGCGGTAGAGTGCTAGCCTTGAGCCAAAGAAGCTCAGGGACAAGCTCAGGCCCTGAGTTTAAGCCTCAGGACTGGGGGGGGGGGAGAATCGAATTTTCAGTCTTAGATATCAGCCCAGGAACTGTGGGGCCAGCCACTTCCAAAGCATAATAACACTAGTTAACTTGATACTTCTTTGGATGTTTTGTAGGTCATTGATTTTTATACCTAATAAAATAAGGAAATAACTCTTACTATAAAGTTGATGTTTCACATGTCAGTCTTACCCTTTGCTAATGAGACTGTGGTTTTGTCACATTTCTCTTTTATAGATAACATCATTTTGGGATTAAAAAAGAAAAGATAAATAGGGGAAAAAAAGCAATTCTTGGCACATGAAAAAATAGATTTAGAAACATACAAACATTCTGAATAACTTCTCTCCTCCTGTCCTCTCCTGCTTTTTGGTTTATTTTCTTATTTGTTTAAATCTGAGACAATATTAAGTCTGAAAATTAAGTGAGAGGTTATATTTTTTTCTTGATCTCTTTATTTTTTTTATTTATTTATTTTTTTGGGGGGGTCCAGTCGTGGGGCCTGAACTCTGGGCCTGGGCGCTGTCCCTCAGCTCTTCAGCTCAAGGCTAGCGCTCTGCCACTTGAGCCACAGCACCACTTCCAGCTTTTTTTTCTTTTTGCTTATGTGGTACTGAGGAATCGAACCCAGGGCCTCATGCATGCAAGGCAAGCGTTCTACCACTGAGCCACCTTCCCAGCCCTCTTTATTCTTTTACAGTACATCCACTGAGGACTTCAGATAAGTGAAGTTCCAATATTTTAATTACCTGTGACATTATGTGTTTCAATTAATCTTTTAATTATACCAACATCTGACAGGGAACTTTGAGTTTCTTACCAAAGACATTGCAAGCATTTATATGACTCAAGTGAAATCATCTTGTGATCTTATTTTTTGATCTTATAATTAATGAAATGTAAATTTGCTTGAAACAAGAATGAAGGGAAAAAGAAAAACTAATATGGACTAATAAGACGGTCTCAAGGAATTGTTTGTAAGGTAGGCTCTAACTAATAAGAACAGTTCAAAACAAATTCACCAGGGAGGATTGTTCATGTCTTTGCAAGCCTTTCAAGGAATGATTTGCTTAGACTTTGTCATGTTTTATTTCCACAGCAAATATGACCAAATGTGTTCTCTTGTCAAGGAAACTTTCAACAACTTAGTGTTAGCCCTACAGTTACAACTCCTGTTTGATCCTGTTTCTGTGGGTGTTCATTAGAATCATCAGAAGAGCTTCTGGGTCAAACCAAGTCTAGTGGCAGAAGGTCCTTGATCTTAATCAGAAAAAGAGTTCAAGGACAGAGGAATTTCAGCCGGAACAAGCTTATGAAGGCAAAACAAAGTGAAAGGGCACTCTCTAGACAGAGGTAGTCGGAAGGCTCAAGAATGAGTAACTGCCTTAAGGGTTCCAAGGTCTCAAGGTTTGATTGAGATCTATGAGGAAGGCCATTCCTGGACACTGGGTTAACTCCTACAGATTGGCTCATGTATCAATTCCTCTCACACATCTGACAGGGGAGTTTTGGGCCTTAGATGGTCAGATTGGGACTTTTTATTTACCAAAGGATGACAGAGGATATGGATCAGCAAGACTCTGTTATATGTCATGAGTCATTCTGTTCATAATATCAGCTGGCCAGGATATGATTTTTATCAACCTCCATCATTCCCAGCCATCAGATTTCCTAGCTCCTTGCCTAACATCTATGTCAGAAGAGTATGTTATGTTTCTCCCTCTTTCTGTCTAGTCCTAGAGTTTATTTTAGTGAACAAGACAATGCATTTAATATCCTTTTCCTCCAAACCCAATGTTCTGGGACCTGGAGGTTGCAAAAAACACAGGCCTCTATGAAGATTTCATCCAAACCCTGTGCCATTGAAAGACAGCTTCCCTCATTAAACTGTCTACTTCCAATGACCTTAACACTAAAGCTGACTTACTTATGCTTGATTTTAAAAGTGAAACATGGTTTTATTATAATGTATTACACTCTTTTCTTAAGTATAATATGAATGACTTGCTCTTTGTCCATTATCTCCTGTGTTGTGGTCATTGCTTTTGTTTTCTAGGTTACATACCATAAACCTTGTTTGCTGAACTGCTGTTAAATCAAATATCTTCTTGGTTGGGGTTGCTGACAAGAGCAGGTTTAGCTCAATGCACGGCTGACACATAGAGTCTAATTCTGGGACAATCTACCAGGTGTTCCATGATTAACATTTGTTCATCTCACTGCCCCTGAATATGATCCAAGCTGTTCTCTCTTGTTACTAAAATGCTATAAAAAATAAATCCATGTTTTGGTACTAGAAAATACATAATTTAACAGTTAATAGAAACACTGTGCTCAGCTACATATACTGAGTGCATACGTGAAGAACAGGGACTATTTCTCAACCAATATCTCTATGTCTGGGTATATGAAGGTTCAGTGACTTGGCAGTTGAAATATTTTTTTAAAAGCTCAGCATAAAATGTGGAGGTTGGGGATTGTAACTAGCAAAACCATGACAGATTCCCACCTGGCTGTGAAAACCTGTGGATCTGCCTGTTCTATCTTGTTCTATCCTGTACTAATGTCTAGGCTCAAAGTCAGGTGTTCTATATCCAAAACAAACAAGTGGTCTTCACCTTGTGCTGTTTCCCAAGTATAAAATCAGGTTCCTCAGAAACTTCGAGGTGGGGAGATGGCTGCTTAAGTCACTTGGCTCCAGATTTCAAAACCTCACTATTGTTATTGTGGAGTGGTTTCAGAGGTCTTCTCAGAATAGGTAGTCTGCAGTTTATAAACTGAGATTTCAAAGCCAGGCACTTGTGGCTCACGCCTGTAATCGTAGCTACTCAGGAGGCTGAGATTTGAGGATCACGGTTTAAAGCCAGCCCGAGCAGGAAAGCCTGTGAGACTTATCTCCAATTAACCACTAGAAAACCAGAGTGGTGCTGTGGCTCAAGTGGTAGAGTGCTTGCCTTGAGCTGAAGTGCTGAGGGACAGCACCCAGGCCCAGAGTTCAAGCCCCACGACTGACCAAAAAAAAAAAAAAAAACTCTGAGATTTCAGCTTTTGAAATTTGTGGTAGATTCATTCGCACCAGTTTACCATGTTATGAAGTAAATAGGCTTTAATGAGCTGGGCTGGAAATCTAGTCCCCATGTAACATCTTTCCCTTTTTTATATATTTATTTATTTTTATTTTATTAGTGAAGATACTGTACAGAGGGGTTACAATTACATGGGCAGGATAATGCGTACATTTCTTACCAAGCATTGCAGCCTCCTCCTTTTGTTTACCCTTCACATCCCTTCCCAGCCTCCCCCCTCCCCCCCAATCCCAATCTTTCTCCTTCCCCCCTTCCCCCCCCTCCCCACACCAATGTTGTAAAGCTCATTTTGGACATGACAACTTGTACTTCTCATTGTTGCAACAGGTCCACCTGTATCTTTAAACAACTGGTTTTTCCCCATCTCCTCCTCAAGTTATACTGACATCAAATATAGTGAAAGCAGGAGTTATACTGTGGGGGAGGGACATACCAAGCAACAAAGAGATAATCTTATAAGTGCATTAGACACACATGCATGAAAGAAAAAAACATTAAGATACATATGTGGCTCAGTGGTAGAGCGCTTGCCTTGCATGTAACATCTTTCCTTGAGGGGTGATGTCTTCCATGCACATGGGGAAAGGTATAAAATCAGAGTTCTGTGGATATTCCTATACTTCTAGCCACACAATTAAGGTGGCAAGTGGCACTGTGAGCTTAGGATAAGGTCTCACAGTACTTCAGGAACTCACCCTATCCCTGGAAACCCAGGGAAGATCATTCTACCCACCCTGAGATTGGCTCCTTCTAACCATTGTTTATCAGGGGTGTTTATCATTTCAAGATACTGAAATGTTTGCAGCTTGACAGAAGTCAGAATAACTATAATTTCTGTTTAGCTTCCTCTCCAGTTCCAGCAACCCCCATCCTACAGCTGGAGGAGTGTTGTACCCACAACAACAGCGCCACACTGTCCTGGAAACAGCCCCCCCTGTCTACAGTGCCAGCTGATGGATACATTCTAGAGTTGGATGATGGCAGTGGTGGTCAGTTCCGGGTAGGTAAACTATCTTGTTAATTTACCATGAAGTCCCAGGCCTTGCTTCATCATCTTTCTTGAGCCACCCTGGCAAGACTGCCTGCCCTAAAACTGAGGCCTGCCTTCTGATTTCATTAATGATGAAAGAGTCTCTAAAACAGCCAGAACTTCCAGAGAAATAGTTTAGCTGTGTGGCCTGGCCCGTTCTCACCTCTTTTAGCCTCAGATCCTCATTTGCAGAAAGCAGAAGACCTATAACATGTATGTCACATCTGGTTGCTAAAAGTCCATTAGGTAATCCATATAAAACTTTTAACATGCTACCTGGTAAACAACAACCTGCCTGTAGTAGCTATTATTATTATTAACATTTTTATTTATTGCTAGTAATACCATAAATCATTATTTTGGGTTGTATTCCTTGTACTTGGCATGCTCTCCTATTATAGCCCTTCGGTTTTGAAACTTTTGTTGCAGAGTGCTGTTACTTCTGGCCCTCTAACCAAACAGAGCTAGTGTTAGCAGATCATTACCTCCTCAAAGAAACAGAGTCCTCATCCCAGGATATCCCTTTTGAAAATAAGACGAGCATCTTTTTGGTGAGACATGGCCATGCTGCCTGCAGGTTGATGATCTGTGTGTGACTACCTATCTGCACATGTCTGCATCTGGTCCATGCACATACCATGCACCTGTTATTTCCTCCCGCCTTGTTTTGAACCTGCTCCATCTCAGTCTTGTCTGAGTCTTCTTCCCTGGGAGAATCCTTGCTTGTGACCCCCAAACATATTAGCCTTTCTGAGTTCTGAGACCAGTCTCTGCACTGATGAAAAGGAATTCATACAGCCCCTCCATACCTTAAGCTCCAAGGATAAGGATTTGTTCTGGCCATCCATGGTCAAACTTGGGCCTCTAGCTTGCAAGATCAAAGCCTGTCAAGCACTAGGTTTAAACACTTTGAAGCAAGATCTATGTCTTCCTCAACTGTCCTCAAGAGCAAAGGCTCACCTGTTTAGTAGGGAATCCTTTTCTTACATATGCATTCACTAATAGGCAGGGAAAAATCCAATTTTCTGCTTTTCCAAATTAAGGGTCTTAGGTTTCATTTCAGTTTATATCTTTGGTATTGTGTTTTTCTCCCTCTCCCATTCCTTCTACCTTCCCACTTCTCTCTCTCTCTGTAATAATCTGTCTATTCATGAAATCATCCTGGGAATAGTCTCCATCTCTTATAGTCCTGAGGCCATATGTTCCTCCTGCCTCCTCACCAACCCAGATGCAGACACCTCCCAAGTCCATTTTTTCCACACACATTTCTCATCAAAGGCTCAGGCCCCGATTTCCACCTGTATAGAATTTTCCATTTCTGTACTCTGAAACTCGCTTTAAAATAAACGTATAATTTTCTTTGACAACTTAGCTTTGTTTTTCTTTTTTTTTGCGGGGGGAGGTCTGGTCCTGGGCCCTGAACTCTGGGCCTGGGCAGAACTCTGGCCTCAGCTCTTCAGCTCAAGGCTAGGGCTCTGCCACTTGAGCCACAGCGCCGCTTCTGGCTTTTTTCTTTTTTTTCTTTTTTTGCTTATGTGGTGCTGAGGAATCGAACCCAGGGCCTCATGCATACAAGGCAAGCGTTCTACCACTGAGCCACCTTCCCAGCCCCCTTAGCTTTGTTTTTCCTACATTCCAGTGTTCTTTCTTAGATATTAGTATCTTAGTATCACGTGGCTCCTCCTCCTTCCTATCCCCCCTCCTCCTTATTTTTTAAGCCCAATAACATTAATAAGCCATTGAGTTCCCTGATCCCTTGCTATCAAGTCATGGTGCTCATATCCAGTCACTTCCTCTTACTCACAGACTGCCATAAGATGTGACCTTTAATGGGGAAATGACTTTAAGACCCCAGGAAGAGGCTTCAGGTTATATCTTGCCTTATTACTAAAATGCAGTCACTGTTTCCACTTCTTCTTATAACATTAAAAATGCAGAATTTCAGAGCCTATCCCAAAGACCTACCAGATCAAAACTGCATTTTAATGAGATTCACAGGTGACTCATATGCACATAAAATTTGCGAAGCACTCAGTGAGGGACGTAACATTTCAGATTGTTGTAACTGCTGGAGTACTAATGAATTGATGGACAGTCCAAGAGCCCAGTCTTCTTAGTAGCATACCAGAGAGTTGTCATTTTAAGGCTGTGATTTGAATGTAAAGTATATTCACTTATTACATCAGCATAATTTTTCAACATGTACTGCTGGAGCAGGAAGCAAAAGCCTAACCTGTGCTAACGATACATTATGCGAGGATTTCTTATAAAGCCTTTTAAATGCCAAGCTTCCTCCTCTCTGTACTGTGATGAAAACCTATACCCTTATGGCTTTTGAGTCTTTGTGAAAACTGTTTCTGAAGCCACCAGTATATAAACACAGCATAGAGCTCACTTCATGTGCTCATGTTTCAAACATGGCTTTTACAAATCACACTGATGAGTGGAAAACTCAGCAGGAACATACTATAGAAATACCAAATTAATAGGAATAAGCATGGCCCTAGCCATAAATATGCAAATTGTTTTGAGAGCTTTCTGTTGTTGTTTTTCACTTTTTGAGGCAAGATATTGTTACGTAGCCCAGACTGGCCTCAAACTCTAGTCTCTTCTGCAAATGTTGGGATTACTGGCATACATCACCACTCCCATCTCTAATTTAATTTTATAATTCCTCACTGCTAACAAATATCATTCATTAAACTGCCTAGTCCTTGTGAAATGAAGGGTTCTGTGCCAATCAGTCTGCACCTATTCCCTTATATACTCCTATACCAATGCCCAACGAGGTGGGCATTCCTGTCTATTTTATGCTTGGATAACCGAGGCTTTAATAAGACAAGGTTAAAAGCCCAGAATTTCACAAGATTCAAATCCACATCAGGCTGATGATGCAAAGCTCCAGTTCCTAACCAGTCAACATCCCTGCCTTTCCTCACTCATCACAAGTGTTCATATTAAATGGCATCCTGTTGTTTGTTGATCCCAGGAAGTATATGTTGGAAAAGAAACAATGTGTACGGTGGATGGTCTTCATTTCAACAGCACATACAATGCTCGAGTCAAGGCCTTCAACAAAACAGGAGTCAGCCCATACAGCAAGACCCTGGTCCTGCAGACGTCTGAGGGTAAGGCCCTTCAGCAGTATCCCTCAGAGCGAGAACTGCGTGGCATCTAACGTGGCTGGCAGCTCGGAGGTAACCCCACCACTGCCCACATTCCTCAAGCGTTTCCATGACTTGCTCTGCACTCGGCCACCGAGCCGCTGTTCCTCTCCTGCCTTTAGAGAGCTCATGGGATGTGGATGTGAGCAAACCAAAGATTCCACATCGACAGTTCCAATGGCTTGGGCCGTCGGCTTCCTTTGATAACACTAAATAAGCTCCAGTTGAAGAAGCTGAAACTGAAGGCCTGAATGAGGCCCTGGTTATAAGACGATGTATCTAGGCTCTAGAGCAGGCTCCCATTCTCCACCAATCCACATCACTTGCCAGTTTTGCCCAGATGATTCTCAATTTCTTTGTAGTGCTTGCTTGTTTCTGTGGGGTGGGGGACCTAGGTTCTTTCCAGCTGTGTATTTGTATGACTGAATGTGTTTCCAGTGGGCATGGGGTGCTAGAGCCATTTCATAGAGGGCCTTGCTGGCCACTCTTGGCTTAACCAGCATGGACTGATACCACTTCCTACCCAAAGCCCAGGCCTTCGGCACTAGGACTGAGACTTCCTGTGGGCATCAAACAGGAAAAGACAAGCAACTCCACAATACCTCGCCATTTACATCTTTGCCAGTCCCTCCAGTAGTGGTTAGGTTGCCTAAGGCCACTGCACAAGGTTAATCTCTAGAGGACATTTGCTCCTTGGCTATCTGTAAATATTTTTGTCATCAAAGAAAAATAATCCCCCTCAGGGGAGAGGCCTGAATTTGATGGCCAAGTATAACCTCTGAGGCGTCTAACATTTTCATCTTAAGAGCAATTACAACACATGCTATTAATAATATTAAACCTATCTAGAGGTATTTGTGACTGGTGCCAAACCATTTTGAGACTCTGGGGTATCACTTTAATCATAAAAATCACCTCCCACCCCATTGCCATTCTCTGGAACTTACCTCTGCACAACTAAGTATGTTGATTTGGTGGGTTTTTTGTTTTGTTTTGTTTTGTTTCTCAAGATGTTAGCTAGAAGAATTGTGGTGGGGTTTCCCACTTTCTACAAGCTTCAGCATGTGTCAGTCACCCCTAAAATGGTCCACATGGTTAAAAACAAGCACAACTTTGAATTCTACAGCAAGGGGGCAGGCTCTGACCTGTGAAGAACAGTGCTTTGGGAGTTGTAAGTCTGAATGATACTGTTCAAAGAGAAGTATTTGTTGAAGGGAAAATGCCCATATGATGTATTCTCATTTAGACTGCAGTAGCATGGTAGCTAGAATTTATCCCCTAATTATCATTTTAGCAACTTCTCTCCCTGGTGACCTATCAGTTTGAGAGCAGTTGCTTCTTTTCCCAAAATACCATGCTAAAAGGCAAGAACTGTCCCAAGGTTTTGTTTGTTTGTTTGTTTTTCTCCCCAGAACCAATGCAGAAGTCACAATGGCAATGGCCTCATTTTCCACTTGTGCACAAGGTGGTCAGATTGAAAAGTTCAGTGCATGCCAGCAGAGATACCGTGCAACAGTGTTGCTAATATATGTCATCAGACCTATAGGAAAACCATCTCTATTCATAATATATTAGAGAAATCATAACTATTTCACTAAAGTCAGTTATTAGCATAGCATTCTGAGTGCTTCTGTCGCTCCTTTCGTCCTATAGGAGGATGTAATTTCTTAAGTTTCTTTCCATGTTCATAAGATTATGGTGTCTAACAACAAATTACAGGATTTGAAACTGCGATCCTTGGTATCACAGTCACAGAATTGGGGGGTCATTTTCCAAATGAAACTAATGGAACAAGTTCTCTATCAACAAAGAAACTGTACTGTAGACGTTCAATTCCTCCTTGGATTTTATATGTTGTGTACAAATATAAGGTATGTATCGGAATACAAAACAAACACTTATCATCATGTAGATACCAGTATTCTCTGTTACTGCACAGAAGTGATTTTCTCATGATGAAATAAAGTTCGCACACATACTTTCTCCTTAACTTTGGTTTGTTCTATTTGTTTCTCCCTCTTTCTAAGGAGACTTAGAAAGCAAGCTAATAATATTTATTTTGACAAAGATTTGATCCCTCTGTTATAGAAAAAGCCTATAGTAGTAAATATTTATAACTCTATTTGTTTTTTTTTCAAATCGATGAGAAAAGTCCTATCATAGATTTCTGATAAGTTCATTATAGTGATATTTTATTTGTGTTATTTCTTACAGTTCTTGGAAAGCTCACTTTAAAGATGTTGTTTCTTACAGTTCTTGGAAAGCTCACTTTTAAAATGTTGTTTCTTCGTCAGTATTGGGGGAATTTCATTTTGACTTTGTACTATAAGTCTTTCACATTCTTCGTAGCAATAAGGAGCTCCTTTCTAGGTCATGAAGTCTGTATCATAGGCTTTATAGCAAGTCTAACTTAATTCGTGCATTTAGTCTGAAGTTTAAATCACTTATCACTAATACTCTGAACCATCAGAAAGTGTTCTGCTAGCTAAAGGTAACATTACACAGAAGAGACTGAATGGACATATTATGGATTGGAATCCTTTTCCCTCAAAAGCACATTGATCTGTCTTGTCTATTTATTGAGCAGTGCTTGCTGTTGCTCCCTGTGCTAATGTATAGGCAAGAGTGTTGAACAGATACTCCTCTGGTCTGTGGAGCTTACAGGTGAGAAAGGCAGCCAGACCTAAAACAAGTAAGCACATAATTAGCTAGGTACCTACAAACACTGGTGGGCATGTGAACAAAAGATGAAAGGAAGGCGTGGTTTATAGGAAACTGATTAATCAGGAAAACAAGCAAAACTTACTTATTTCAATGGAAATAAATAAGAGAAAAAGAAAGGAAGCTACATTATTACATGAGTTCGAGTTTGGTTAGTTCTCTGAAAACACATTCCTGGGAGGGTGTCTACAATATCCATAGAGATAAAGCTGGTCCTAGATCACAACCAAGTTTCTCCTAAATTGAGGAGAAATATAACTGTTAAGTCATTAAGAATTTTCGTAAATTTTAAAATAAAGCCCGCAAACTTGATTTACATAGTTTTAAAGTAATTCATGGAGTAGTCATTTACAGCCATGTCCCAGCCTTGGAACGCATCTGTAAGAGAGTCTGCTGTGAACATTATGTAACGAGGACTTCTTAACACAGTGTGCTGAGGCTCATTCTGCATGACAGACTTTACTCCCACCAAAAATAATGACACAAGGCTGAGAACAGGGTAGGGTATTTCCTGTTTATTTTTCCCTAGTACATTTCTGCCTATTTAAACAGAAGGTACTTTTTTTTTAATCTAGAGAGACATGAACTAGAGCAAAGGTAATATATCGAAGGTTCAATTTACTGGATAAGAGAAAAGGTTCCTGAGATGCCACTCTTCTCAGCCCTCAAAGCCAAAGGGTTGCTTCCCCCACTGGCTCCCAGCAGAGGTGATCTCCCACCAGTCCTCAGGGAAAGCAGAAGATGGAGGATTTCAACCACTACACAAGACATGCTCTTCTCTATGTAAAAAGATTCTTTTCTTTGGACAGATTCTTTGAAGTAGATACTAGACTAGAGGGTCTGAATATTTCGGAAGTCCTGGATTCCAAAATGTTTTCCAGATAGATTGTCCACCACCAGTTTGTGAACCATTGTGGTATATCACCTTAATTCTATCAAGGGCTTAATTTTTTTGTGTATGTATGCTGGTTCTGGGGCTTAAACTCAGAGCCTGGATGCTGTCCCTGAGCTTTTTTGCTCCAGGCACTTAAGCCACAGCTCTACTTCTGGCTTTTTGGTGGTTAATTGGAGATAAAAGGCTCACAGACTTTCTTGCCCTGGCTGGCTTTGAACCATCATCTTTAGATTTCAGTCTCTTGAATAGTTAGGATTATAGACATGAGCCAACAGTGCCCAGCTAAATGTTTAATTTTGGTCAATGGGCAGACTCTTGTAAAAATAAAATTGTTTCTAGAAGAATTTTACTTTATATTTCCATAGACTATTCTAATAGCTACATGAAGTAATTTGCAACAAATGACCCAAGAAATTGACATCTAATAGGGAAGGAAGACTTCCCAGAGGAAGTAGGGAAGAGAGACATCCAAACAGACAAGGCAAAAACTTCAAAAATCTGCCTTGAGCTTATACTACAAGAAAAGAGTCTAAACTTTTTTATTGATTGCTTCAATTAGGTTAGGCAACTAAGCTGGGCCCAGGTCACAGGAATAAGCACAACATTTGATTTAGAATCTGGGGCCTTACTGCTCCTCTTGCCCAAACTTAATGACACCTTGATCATATCACCGGAAAACTATAGTACCATTTACCTCTCTAGAAATAAGAAAACTACCTGACAATCTAGATTGCCGTCTTGCAGCAGCAAAGTAAGAACAATTAATTTCCTGTTGGGAAGGTAGGAATACAAAGTCCATGCTCATTCTTATTTTATGAACTGCAGGTCCACTGAGCTCATTGACCCACTTGCTAAAATCAAAAGACGTAGAGATGAAGATGATTGTAGTTCAAGACTAACCCAGCAAAAAGTTAGCAAGAACCATTTCAATCAATAACCTGGGCGAGGTGATGGTGCACTCATGGTACCAACTACAGGGGAAGTAGGATTGCAGGCCATCCTGGCCTGGATAAACATAAGTCTCTAAGAATTAACTTAAAACAAACAGGGCTCAATGGCTCCAGTGACAGAATGCACAACTCAGCACAAGGACCTGAGTTCAAAGCTCTAGTATTATCACCAAAAAAAAAAAATACTACTAGTACATTGAGCAAGAAAGATAACTTCTAAACACTAAGATAGGACACATAAAAAAGAAGGAAGCATACTATAAAAAAATATGTTGAGAGAGGGGCTGGGAAGGTGGCTCAGTGGTAGAGTCCTTGCCTTGCATGCTTGAGGCCCTGGGTTCAATTCCTCAGCACCACATAAGCAAAAAGAAAATATGTTGAGAGAGAAAATGCACATT